TTGGCCCAGGATCCCTTCAGCCTCGGGGAGGGAGCTGATGTTGGTGCTGTGCCACCCACTGATGTCCGGAGCAGTTTTAGGAGCGAGCCCACGTTCTGCTCATATTACTTGATGTTTAAAAAGTTCCATCCTTTTATCTTGAAGAGCCTTATGAAATTGAAGGTGGGTTAGAAAAAGTCATAGATTACGTGTTACTTTTCCTTTTCTTTACATTTATAACTTTTGAATATACTCCGACAGCAACTCTACCAAGCGCCTGGAGGATTGTCTGCTGGGGACTTAAAGCACGGTGTTGTGTATGGTGTAGTGCACCGGTCCGATGACAATCACAACAAAGAAATGGTGGTCTATGGATGGTCAGCTCACCAACTGAAAGAAGAAATGAAATATATACGAGATGTGAGTCACATTTGTATACAATGTTCTTGCAGGAAAGGAAGGATTTTGATCGGCTGCTGCTCCCTTCCCCATCCTTTCCTTCTCTCCTTCTCCATCCAGCACTCTGGTGCCTTTGCTTCCAGTGGCAGGATGAGGACAATTCACCTCATTACTCCCTGCAGTCAGTTCTGGTTTCTCTCGGAACAAAATTGTAAAATGAAGTCAACTTGTTGTCTGGAATATAATTTGCATATCGTTAAATTTTGCAAAGTATCGCTATGCATTTGGATGCCTGGGGCATGTTTCACTGACCAGATTCCCCCATAGACCTGGCACGTGACCTGCGGGTCTGCAGGGGGGCCACCAGGTAGAGAGGAATGCGGGGAGGGGCCTTAGGCCGCGTTAGGTTTTGCCCTGTCTGTAGGCCAATCTCAGGTGGCATCAGGGCTACATTCTGCCCCTGAGGCTCTTCAGAGGCTTGGACGCAGGGCAGGCCCCTCTCTAATCAAACACCCTTCATCAACACGTGGAGGGGCCCCAGGCTCCCTTCCGATCTGCCTCCCCAGACGCAGGAGCAGAACGGGGGCCAGAAGCTCCAAGTGGGGCAAGGCAGGTGGGGAGCATCTCTCGCTCAGGTGTAGGCTTCCCTCCCCTCTGAGGAGGCAGTGGGACAAGAGCGGAGGCGTCACCTGGCTCTGTGAATGGGGGGGGGGCTGGGATGGGGCTCCCTGGTCTTAGTTGAGGAACCACATTTTAAGCTGTGAGAGGTCTGAGATTATACCTGCCTCAGATAGGAGAAAGAAACAGCCAGGATTTTCTTAAATTCTTTGGTTTCCTGTTGCTTTTATAAACCTTTGACTATTTAGATTCTGAAAATTATTATTTACCTAGCATGGAGAAGAATTTTATGCATCGTAACCTTTCTGTTCCAGGTGAGATTGACATTGGAAAGAGTGAGAAACAAAATGTATGGAGAATACGATGAAATGAAGCGTAAAATCCAGGCGCTCTCGAGTGAGCTGACGGTACGTACAGCAGCTGGGCCTGAATGGCGGCTGAGCACCCAAGTTCCTCCTTTCCACTTTGAGAGGTGCTTTTGTGCCTCCGGACCGTCGTGTTGGGGGGTCTGACCCTCCAGCTCCAGTTCTTACCAAACTGATGTTTGTTGATGCTTCCCGAAGAGACTCCTCCCGCGCTGGCCTAGATCCACACGGGCCTTGGCCAATCAGGCGTTTTTCAAAGCAATCAACGGATTTGTCTTTATGGAAAATATGGATCGGCCTTTCCTGCAGCATCCTTTACACTCCGATGGCTCTTGCGCTGGCAGGCCATTGTGGCATGTGCCCGTTCAGTGTGCAGAAGACCCCTCCTTTGGCAGCCTGGCACCGCCTGGTCTGGCTTGCAGATTTCCGCTTCTCTTACCTTCAAGCTGCTTTACTTTCCCTTGAAAAGAGCCAAAGAGCCACCTCTGTTCCAGGTCTCCAATACGACGGAGCGCAAGAACTGGTGTAACCTCACATATTTCTCATGAATCCAAAATAGGATAGAGTTGGAAAGGACCTTGGGGGGCTTCTAGTCCAACCCCCTGCTTAGGCAGGAAACCTTATCTCTCTCCTCAAGGGTTAGGATTTATACTTGAATCTTTAAAGTGTCTCTTTAAAGGGATTCCCCCACCCACCCACCCCACCCCCGGATATATGGAGCTGCTTCTTGTCCCTGCCAGATGTGGGTGGACTGCCACGGATGGTCAGCAGCAGCAGCTCCTTGGGCAGTTAGTGAGAGCCTATGGATTCAACAGCTTGCCAGAGGAAGATGGTGTGTCTCTTTTTGCCAAAACAGGCTCCAGCCTCACTTCCCTGCCGGCAGTTTGTGCTCTGGCAAATGTACCAACCTTGCCTTTTCTTTTATGGGCTTCTAGTGGAAGTCCTTGGATGGAGATGGTTAGTTCCAACGCAAACCTGCCTGTTGCTCCTATGCAGTTCCTGCTTCCTGAAACTCAAACCCGGCGTTTCTTCTACAGGTATCACATGCTGAGCAGGCATCCCTAGAGAGCCACATCCAGGTGCACGAGGCAGCCCTGGAGAGTTTCTGCGAAATGAGCAGTTCGCTAACCTCGGCATCCATTGAGCTGCAGGTAAGGAACCCCCCCCCCCGGCTCCTTCTACACTCTGTTGGGTCTTTGGAGGGCAGGGCCTGATCCACAGCCCCGTCCGTCCGTAGAGGGAAAAGTTTGAATCTGAAATTCGACAGGCTGAAAGTTGGCTTCCTTGCTCTGTAGAAATGGCTTGGCTTATAAAAGGATATTGCACTGAAAATTCCTAGGCTTTATTCACAGTACTAGTCCAAAGATAGGGTATTGATTTATTAATTTAATTAACTCACAGGTTTTATTTGCTAGCACTTGGGAATTTGCAAGGTCAGTGTGCTGTATTTAAACATGTGGCAGAATTGACCGTACAGCTGAGAGAGTGTGTTTTAACATGGTAGTATACAAACATAATAAGCAGAAAATGTGCAAGGTGGATGTTTATTTATTTATTCAGTTTGCATCCCACCCAGCTCCCAAGAAATGTTGATGTATCTGTTTCTCTCCTTCCCTCCACTCACAGAATCCCATTTCAAGTCTTAAGGATGTCTCTGGGGTCATTCATCACCCAGAGTCCCCTGGAGTTAGTCAGCAGATTTAAATAAGTGGATGGATTTAAGCTAGAAGATGAGTTGCTGCCCTCCTCCAATATAACGTGCATTTGGTACATTTCCCTTCTTAAGAAAGCCAGAAGAGTTAGTTCTTTGCGGTTCTTGCCCAAAGGTGCATCTGGGGGGAAAAAAGGATTCATCCTAATTTTTGTCAAGCAGTTGTGAAATAATTTTGTATTTTATTGCCCACCTTTTCAGAAAACCTTAGTTGATGTTACTTTGGAGAACACAGTTATACGTGACCAGATACAGAACCTGAAACAAACTCATGAATTATCCATGGAAAAACTGAAGGAAAAGCAGAAGCAACTGGAAACGGCCAAGGTGGAAAATGAACTGCTCCGTCTGAAGGTGAGCGGCAGGAATGCCTGCCCCGGACAGCAGCTCCTGGGAGGGCCGTCCAAAACCATGGACTGGCTGGAAGCCTTCTGGCTCAGAAGCAAAGAGGGGTGATCGGGCGAGGCCCACCTTCCTGCTCCCAGGGCCCTTTAGGCCATCTGGGATTTCAGGCTTCTGCATTCAGCTTGTCCTGGAGGCCCAAGGCGGCCGTTTTCCAACAGGAGGGGCTGAGCTGCACCATTCTCAACTTGCAACTACCAGGTTTTGCTTGAAGGCATCTGCCCCATTTCCTTCTCCCCCCCCCCCACTCCACTCCATGCAGGCAAGAGGAACAGAAGCCACATCTCAACCCAAAGGCCGTGTGCTGCTTCTGCCACTTGAAGTCCACCCACTGTGTAAACGGGGGGGGGGGGGGGCAGGAGCCTTGCAAAGTCCGGGTGCTTATGAGCCCCCCCCTTTTACTCCCATCCATTTGGCTGCCAAAGACAAAGCTGGTTTTCTATGGGCGGCCTCTATTTCTGTCTTGCATTTGTTTCATTAAGTGGACTCCCCTCCCCCACTTTTCTTTCTGTTCTTTTAAATAGGTGGAAAGCTCCCAGGAAGCAAATGCGGAAGTCATGAGAGAGATGACCAGGAAACTCTACAGTCAGTATGAGGAAAAGCTTCAAGAAGAAGAACGGAAGCATTCCCTTGAGAAGGAAACACTCCTTGTACGTGGGATGCTCTGGCATTCCCTTCGGAAGGGCTGCCACCACCCTTAGTGCAAATCAGGGTGGAGAGTCGGTTTCTGGGGTTGTTTGCAGTCTGTGGACAGCAGTTTTCAACGTCCCAAAGATTAATAGTAGAAATTCAGTTTGCTAAAGTACCAGCTTGAATGGGGCTCTTGTTGGAGTGTGTAAAGGACACCTGTGCTTTTGTACAATTTTCAGTTGTACAGAAGAGTGATGTACACGTTTTACTTAATGCAGACTCTCCTCTCTTAAAATGCGACTTTCCAAAAGTTTTAGAAACAATAAAGACAATGGGTGAGGAATAAGAATCCCTAAGCAAACCCAGGAATGTGCGAATGTGGTGGCTTTGTGCACATTATCTGGAAGTCGGTCTCATTAAACTCGGCTATGAGTTAAACTGACTTTAGCCGAGAAGAAAGTTCAGGTTTCCCAGCTATGAGAAAACACATACTTAAAATAAGCAGATGAACCGGGCAGTAAGAAGGATGTGTCTTTTCTGCAATTCTGTATGAATTCACTTCCTTTCCCTGGAGATTTTAACAACTGTAAAATCGTTGGGAATAAATTACGGTTTGGGGTCTTGCCAGGAGGAATGCGGGTATGGTTTTTGTAGAAGGTCAGGAATGGGCTGTTTCTTGTTGCTGCAGGCAATTCTTAGGATTTGGGGAAAGGGGAACCACCTGGAGTTAGAAGCCAGGCGGCCTTGGAATTGCCAGTCGGGGGGGAATGTGATCTCGTGTGTTTTTCTCTTGGAAGTTGGAAACGAATCGTTTACTTATGGCCATTGAGGATGCCAATAAGAAGATGAGGCTTACAGAGACAAGTTTGCAGGAAAAAGATCAACGAATTGGAGAGCTGGATCGACTCATTCAGCGCATGGAAAATGTAAGGACATCACTTAACTCTTTTTCTAAATATAGAGGTACAGGTGGTGTTGGGGGTATTTATTCCATGCTCTTCGCACTTTGCAAAATAAAGATTAAAATCCCCTGAACTTTTTTCAGTCCACAATATTTCACATCTGTAGCAGGAAGGCCAGAAACAGCCCTTTTCATCCTTTTCCTCCGTATTCTAGAGAGGTCATTGTGTCTATTCCTTGATCAAATGGCTTCGGAGGTGGATCCCTTTTGCAGCTGGAAGGCAGAGGGGGGGAAATAACCCTCCCCCCAAGACTGCTCTTCCTTCATTTCCATGGGGTATTCTCGGAAGGGAGGGGACCAGCCTCCAAGTAGCTCTCGAGTCCACCAACTGGGGCAGGAATGGACAATGTAGGTGGGTGAAAGATTCTACCACTTCAACAATGCTGTAGAGCAGGATAAGTTTTCAGAAACCAGAACGATGTGTCAGCAGAGCTGTTACTCTTAGGAACTCACAATTTACCTAGGAAAACAAGTCCTGCTGGCCAGGTAATCCAGGCCACCGGAAAGGCAGGGCTGCGGAACTGGTTGGAGTAGATTCTCTCTCCTCTTTTCTTCCTCTTCCTTGCTTGAGGCCTTCGGACCCCTCAGAGGCCTTTTCAGCGCTGCTTCTCTCCTTTATTTGACAGATGGGGTCTGTAGGGAGATATTGGCAGGAGCAGGATTGTCCTGCTGAGATTCTGTTCTATAGGAGTCATTTCTGTTTTTTTTTTAATATAAATTTTTATTTTTATTACATAGACAACACATACACACAACAGTAAAAAAAAAAAAGCATCATCACATAGAGCCTGTCGTTTGGTTACAGGTGTTTTAACATCCATATTCTCGAATAACATTTACCATCACAGATTTTTCATCTAGTATAACTAAATACTTCACTTTCGGTGTACAGTGTATGTTCAATTACAATTAGTATTATTTTTTTCCCAATA